CAGCATACGGATAAGAGCATTTGGATTGTAAAATCACAAGAAAATTCAATAAAAAATGGAAGTACCTTGAAAATGTACATGGACTGTATGATCACGGGCCTTCTGTATCCCAAAGAGCAGAGTAGGCCTGACAATTTCTCTGAGCTTGAGAACTTCTTAAACACTGGATCTATGCCGTGCAAATCTGCAAAATAAGACAAGAATGCAATATCACGATAAGAACAGTACGAACTTCCAATAATGCATATTCAAGCTGTACATGATTCGGAATTAAAAATAAAAAAGAGAGAGAACTGAAAATTCAAGTTGTCAAAGAACGATTAAAATTCAATTTATAAATGGACATATTCCAACATACCATGCCCGACTTTGTTAATAGAGAGTTGCTTTGGTTGTTTTAAGTTACCCTCTTCATCAAATGCTTTCTCTGTTGAAAATACAAATCCACGCATTACTTCAAAGTGAAGTATAAAAAGAACAGCAAGAGAAATGCATGTGCTAATCCCACTAAGTCAGGTAAAACGGAAGGCCAAGATCAGCTCACAGACATTGATTAATAAAGTTGAACCTATTTCATCCACCAACACGAAGAATAACTATAATACCTTGAACTCTAAACAGACTCATAAAACAGCGAACAGAATAAATCTGATTTTTAGTTCCAGGTTCCTTCATACACATTTTAAGATCAAGAAAGTAAAAATCCAAATATTTTATGTGCAAAAAGTCACATTCTTGATCACATATCCAAAAATTCCTTTTTTTTTTTTTTTTTTTTTCAATCACAATCAATTAACTAAAAAATAAATCCTCCATAACCCTCTTTCCTGGTGCATGCATCAAACATGAGGTAAAAAAAATTAATAATAATAATAAAATAAAAAATTAATCAACCATAATTAGCAAAAAGAAATTTACAATAAATTTGAATTTAATGACCGATTTAGCGTAATTAATACCTTCAAAGAAAAAAGAAATCTTCTCAGCACTCTCAAAGAAGTATTCATCAGTGGATTGTTGCTGAACCCAGAACAAAAGGATGAAGCAAAAATTATTTGAACTCAAAATTCTAACTAATTCCTGCAACAATTTATATATTGGATCTATATATAAACAATAAAAAAGGTCGGATCTTTACTTGGTTCGTGGTGGAAAAAATTGAAGAACTCTTAGAACAATCAAATTCGTTAAGTAACTGATCCATTCTTTTTCTCAATAAATCTATTTCTTCAAGGCTTGCGAATGATTCCAACACTAAATACCCTGTTCCATTAAAACGCAAATTAAGGAGGGAGGAGGGGGGGGGGGGGGGAGAATAACCATTATTTACACCTATTACTTTGTACTGTTTTTACTACCTTGAGCGTTGAAGAACTGAAGTTGATCGGGATTGAGGTTTCCAACAATTCCCATGTCTGAAATTTGCTTTGCTTTCGAATATGCGAATTTTTTCCGAGGGAGAATTGGAGAAGTATCAGATGCGCGCCGCTCTATGAAGTATATTTACGTCAGGTCAAATCTAAAATAGTAGTTTGATTTTGACAAAATAAAGGTTGAACCCAATCTTGGGTGCGTTATCGCGCAGCCCCTAAAAGTTTGTGAGAGAGATAAATTGCAAGATGTATCTCAACAGGTTAGAAAATAAGAACTACATATATACTGTGTCTACAAAGAGTCCAATTCCATATTTCGAGAATCGAATTATCACACTGCGATTACCAGCAAAGCGTGAGATAACCTCACTTATGTCTTTTCCACCACTGGACTATGATACGAGAGCTTGATTTTGACAAAATAATATATATATATTGAAGCTTTGCTAATTTTGAAATATTTCAACGATATTTTATATTTAACACTTATATCTTGTTTGAGTCACATT